GAGAAAAAGCTTCATGAGAACGAGACAAAACTGATCCACAGCTTCGGACCCAAGCTTTACACCGACTATCCCAAGCCTCCTTCATTCTCACGGATGACTCTAGTTGGGGAGACCTGGTTGATCTAGCCAAGAGGTATATCTCGCCTACAATAGTTGATTATGAGGTGGTGACTGAACCTTCAGAGTTCCGACATCTCAGACGGGGGATCTTCTCTCACTCCCTACTCTACGGGAGGAGTTTTGTGCTATGGTTGATTTTCGTACTATGGGCCTCGGGTGGAAGTGCTCAGAGCCTGCAAGTGGCTCTACACCCAGAGGCCACAGCCTCAGAGAGTACGGAGATATGGCTCGAAGCACAAAAAAAACATAGTAAAATGAGAGATTGAGTGTGTGATTTGGAGGGATGAGTGAGGACTCGAGACTAGTGCCGACCATGCTCTCTTCTCGTGTACTCCCTGAGATTATTATGAGTTCTCATTCTTCCCTCGTTTATTTACTTATCTTTGCTTGAGTCAGTCAGTCTTACTTCATCTACATTGCCCTTGTTTGATGATCTTATTCGCTGATAATCGTGTTACTGTTCTCAAAATTAGAAAATTGGCAAAATTGATGCATGCATGATGTATGAGACTTTTATGATTATTATTTGCATAATTATTTGTTGTTCCGAATCGAAATAAAAGATTCCTAAGACCAGGAACCGGGGAAGACTGCAATTGAAGGGTCTCGCTCGAAGCTAAACGCACACAACAGAAAGGGACTTGCTTTAATTAATTTATTTTATTTATTGCAAATATCAACCAAATCCTGCATGACAGCCTGTTGGCTTTATGGTCACCTGGATTGACTGGAAAAAGTGCGACAAAAAAGTTACTGGCGGTGGGGCCAGGGTTTGCCTGGGCTATGATCACCATACCTAGCTTGCCCCGACGGCCATGACGGTCGTGCTCATGCGTTGTGAGCACGAAGCTTGTCTTGCATGCCTGATTGTGTGCGTGTTGGCGGTGGGTGTGGCGTGGTGCACCGGGTGGGATGATTGTTTTTTTGCGTTAGTGCAGCCTCCCTTCCGTACAGTAATTGCAACCAATATGTAATCACGATTGACGTGTTATTGCGTGTTCGGTCTTCAGATTTGGAGCCTTAATTACAAGAATGTTTGCCAATGACAATCACTGTTTGTTTTGCTGCGTCGGGTTAGATCCGAGATTGGTTGTCTGCTGGAGTTGGGGTTCTTTTCGCATGCGGAGTGATTTTTATCTCTACCTGACGCTTGCCTTTCCACGCACCGGCCTATGATGGGAGATTGCTGCAAATGGTATTGATGCTAACAAGTGAGCCGATGCAAATTTGATTGACGGGGTGAGACTTAGATACGCGTGTGCTTTGATGCTACCTGACACTCGCCTACATGAAAGAATGTGGGCAGAGCTATTGGATAGATACATGTAATTTGTGATCTTGAGTTTCTTTCATCTTAAAGTTTGCTTCGTTTCGAGCATTTGTTGAGGTTTTCTTCCCTCTTTATGTACTCTCTAATTGAATTTTGGATTTGATTTTTGTTTGCTTTTTTCTGGACTGTTCAGATCCTCTCAAAACTTTTTAGGGTTAGAATACCCTGCTCACAGTTTGGCAGATAAGCATCTGATAGCATTTCTCTGCGTGTCGGGAAATTACAAGTTTTAGACTGTTCCCGAAGAATTTGGGGGTGGGGCAGACTGTCGCGGTTCAACCTCCTGATGAGTCGGTGAAAGTCCGACGAAACAGTCTGTTCGGCACAGTCATGCTTTTTTTGAGTGTATAGCGATTATGGCAACACACACACACACA